GCCGCGCTCTCCTCAGCGCCGCCCGTGAGAGCGGCCTTGCGCCGTTAGACGCACCACGGGCTGCCCTGCGCAAGGCTGAGGCGCCAGCAGCCCTGAGGGGACGCTCCTCGGCTGCAGGCAGGATGGAGCAAAGGGCGCGCCAGCCCTGACGCACCCACAGGCCTCGTCGTCCTCCCCCAGCACCCAGGCCTGCCCTCAGCGCTGGAGAGGCCGCTTCAGGGGGACTTCAAGAGGCCTTGCGCCTCCGAAAGCAGCCATTGGCACCTCGCAGCGCTCCTTGCTGACTTTTGAAGAGTGCTGTCCCAGCACGGCTCTGCACCGCGGGCTTGGTGAAGCAGCGAAGGTGCAGGAGACAGGCTACGCGCTCCCCCCACCCCCCTTCCTTGGCCTTTCCCCAGACCACTGCACAGCAGCAGCTCCGGCGGTTGCAGAGTCCTGCAGAGCCTGGATGTGCTGAGGCTGCAGAACATAACTCCAAATGGCAAAGGGAAGACTTTTTATAGCTCGTGCGCTCCTCTGGGGTGCGCAAATGCAAGAGGCTTGTGCACTGTGTCGTCCCTTCCCCCCTCCCCCCCGGTTAGACTTGGGACCTTCAGCAAATGCTGTGAGGGCCTGCAGGGATCTGGGCACTGCCAGCAGCACACAGCGCCAAAGAAACCCCCCTCGTGGAGGGATGCACAAAGCACTTCACAGCAGAGGAGCTAACAGCTAAATGCAAGTCCAAAACACTCTTCCGGATCCCGCTGCAGCTCCAGGCAGGTGCTGGCAGGAGTTTAGCAATCCAAGGTGAGCGAGGGCACAGTGCCCGTGGAGGAGAGCTCAGAGACCTTCTCTCCTGTATGAGCCTCGTGTTCAAACACTTCAGCTGGGATTCCTGAAGCACTTCAAGACAACAGGAACTAGAAGTTGTGCCAGCCCTCCAGGAGCATGCTAGACTTCCCTTACTCTCCCTCTAACCTCCATAAAGTTCCTCATTAGAGGAAGCCGATGCTGGCTACTTTCTGTACAATAGCTCAGTTGAATTTAAAGGTCGTAGGGTGCCTAGTGAGAAAGCGTGTCTAATAAAAGGCACAGAAACAACTGCAGTGGCAGCAGATTAAATTCCCCTAGCAAGAGGCTGAGTGGAGGGCTAACAGTCCTGGAAAGGTCACTCAGTACGAGACGCATTTCAAAGAAAGACAGGGACAAGGCAAGTCCGGGAAAAGCAGTTGGGAAGAGATGAATAAAACAACACAGCCTGTCCCAAGAAGCCAAGACGTCAGAGAAGGGGAGGCCTGGGGTACATGGGGCACAGCAGGGTCCTGGCCCGACTCCTGCAGGCCCCAGGTAGAAGAGTTAGGATTCTGTACCCAGTTCAGCATTGCAATTGCTACCCTTTTCTGTCCAAACTTTAACACTGGAACCATTGCTGAGAAAAAGCAAGTGGGACACTGTGTTATGTTGTGACTGAACAGTGACCTGCGGGGGCATTGTTGCTGTTTCTGGGACAGCACACAAGGGTGCAGAGCCAGGAGGGAACTGGCAGTGCCCTGTTCTGCCCTCTTAGCAAATCCAGCAGGCACCGACCCCAAAACAATGATGCACCGGAGCCACACAGCAAAGAACGTGTCTTCCCTCTCCTCTCCAAGTTTATTGTTATTTTAAACGTTGGTAAGTACACTGCTAGTCAGCGGCACTAGGACCTGGAACGGGGGTGGACAGCGAGATCTGCGGCAGCTCCAGCCTGCCAGTGCAGACAGGGATCAGTGAACTGCTGGACACGCTGGCCTGAGCAAACATGAGTGGAGAAAGCCAGCTTCAGAGGACCAGAGAGGCACGTGGCACCCGGCCGGACAAGGGGCAAGTTTCAAAGGCACAACACAAGGCATGAGACCTCTGTCCTCTCCTGTGATGTTGGAGGTCTCCTTGTACCTCTTGCAGGTCACATGTCCATTGTTGCCCCTTGTGCCAGTGGGCAGTTTCCAGCACCCTCACAGGAGGGGCAGCAGGGAAAGTGTGGAGCCTGCTTTCTTAGCTCCTATAAAGCCATGTACAAGCAAAGACTGGGCTAAGGCACAGACCGAAGCAAGTCAGAGTGAAGGCAAAAAGCTGCTGTGGATCATTCATCTAAAAGAAACATGACCCAGCTGCTTTGTCAGGTAGACTGCCAAGGGCTACACAGCCTGCCAGCTGCTCAGAAAGACTTTGGGGCAGTTGGCCCCGGCACTGCCAAAGCCAGCCAGAGGACAAACCGATAGGAGGGAGAAAGGCTGCCTGGGGAGAGTCAGTGGGCATGGAATTAGCACAGGCAAATCTGTGACAACAGGGGAGTTCCCTGGGAGCAGGAGCCAGGTTTGATTGTGAGAGCAAAAAATCTAAACAAACAAGCTCTGAAGTCTCACTCTGGGGCTGCCCTTACATGTGAAATGCTGGCCGTACCATTCGTCAGGAGCAGCTGGCAGTGGCTGGGGAAACAGCACATGGCAGGGTGGAAAAGAATGCTATTTTCTGTGCTGGTGCTTCTTAGAAAGAGTGATTCTCAGCACCTTTGAAACTCCTTAGGAGCTTCACTCGCCCTGGTGGAGCCTGGCAGGGATCTGTGCCCGCTCCACGAGACAGTCAAGCCAAAAGCAACAGCAGTGAGCAGAGTAGCCCCGTGGGGCTAATAGCAAAGCTTGTCCTCCCAGGCAGTGCCTCCTGCACCACCCGTATTGATCAAGACGACCTGGCAGAGTCTCTCTGAGAACTGAATCCATCACAGCAAGAGAAAGTGAAAGGTGGAAGATGCTCAGCCCCGCTCAAGGCAGACCCTAGAGAGCAGCAGAAGCTAAATGAACCCTTCAAAGAGAGAGGGAGATCAGCAGGTACCTCTGTGCAGATGCCAGGCTCAGGCTGGCAGTGTCCAGGGCTGAGAAAGGGAAACTCTGCCCTTCCAATGCTCTGCAAAGGCTCCCAGGAAATCCGGACTCCTTACAAAGCTGTAGCATCAGAGCAAGTTGGTGCAGGCAGGAGCTCTCCGCTGTTCTTGGCAGGATCAGTGGTTTTGCCGGCAGAGCCCACTTACTTGTGCTCAGGATGGTTCTGGAGACACTTGATGACATCAGTAACAGGTTTGCCCTCATAGCAGATCTGATACACAGCTGTGAAGAGGGGAAACCTGTGGGCAGATGAACAAAGTCACCCCCTGCACTGTCACCAGAGCTGGCAAAGTCAGAACACCCTCTATTGCAACATGCAGGACCACTGGGCAGGAGCAGGTGGGACAGTGGCATGGTGCCTCATCCAACAGGCCATTCCTGCCCAGCTGGTTTGATGTGGGCAGTGCAGAGATTCACCTGAACAGCAGAGACACTAGGTGGGTTTCCTTTCCCATAGCTGCAGGAAAGATCCCACACCCACCCCAAAAGAGCAGATAAGAGAGATGAGAGCACTCACTTTTCCACTACGTTCTTGCTTTTAAGGATGCGATGCAGCTCAGCAGATGTCTGGGGACCCTGCAGCTTCTGTCCATTCAACATCTCCTTCTCCAGCTGCTCGATAGACTGAAACAACCCAACAATGAGAGAGCTGGACCCTGCAAGCCCATCCGCCACCCCACATT